AATCTGGATTTATAGTTTTAAAGGTAACGGTAGAGGCAGCGGTAAAGGTAGAGGTAAAGGTAGCGGTAGCGGTATCACTTTCTGCAATTTATAGTTCAGAAAGTAGCGGTAGCGGTACTGACGGCGCATGCGTACTTTAATGCAGATTGTAATTTTGTTTCTAAAATTTAATAGCAAAAGGTTGTTTTCTATGAAAACATGAATTGCTGTGCTTCTGGGCCAAATGGCGTTGTGCGAAATATTATATAATAAACTCTGCAACACAATATATTATATATACAATATATTATACAATATATACAAGATATTATGTTGTATTGCGGGGTTTCAAGTACGTTATGGGGGTCGTCAAGTACGTCGCTTTAAAACGAGGGAATTAAATCGGGAACGAGCTAAGAAACGCCATTTCCAGTATTAAAATAAAATAAAATTGACCGATAAAGAGTAGTTCTTTAAATACACAAATGACGGTGCCCATTTTTGACAAATTATCAAGTCTGGTTGCCCCTCGCATAAAAACTAAACTTACAAGGCGAGGATGCCAACTGAAAACTGCCGTGTGATTGGCTGGAGTAGCGGTTGAGGTAAGAAAAGTTGAAAGATGGTCATCTCTTGCCGCTACCTTCTTGCCTCTACCTCTCTTACCGCTACCTCTGACAACTATAAATTGTTTCGTACAATATTCAATGCCGAACTCGGCTACCGCTACCGCTACCTTTACCTCTACCTTTACCGCTGCCTCTACCGTTACCTTTAAAACTATAAATCCAGCTTAAAGGTTCTCCGACGTCCAAATGAGAGATTTGCACAGTGTAACATTCGTAAAACCACAGGTTCTGTAATGGTTTGGGGAGAAATTTCCTTGATAGCTCGCACAGAACTCGTCATTGTTCGTGGAATAGTGAATGATAATCGTATATCGAGGACATTTTATCTGAGCATGTTGTCCCTTTCGCCCCTTACCTCGGTAATAATTAGGAATAGTGTACGATAATCGCATATCGAGGACATTTTATCTGAGCATGTTGTCCCTTTCGCCCCGTACCTCGGTAATAATTTTTACTGATGCAGGATAACGCAAGACCTCACACCGCTCATATATTGCAAGAGTACTTGAGGTACATGAGGTGGGTGTTGAAAATTTAGAATGGCCTGCAAATAGTCCGGATCTCAACCCCATTAAGCATTTTTACGATAATATGGGTAGACGACTAAAAATCATGATCCCTTGCCTGACTCCATTGATGGCGTAGCAAATATGCTACGAGAATTATGGAATGTCATTGATCAAGGCGAGATTATACATCTGGTTTCGAGTATGAGCCGTCGATGTGAAGCCGTTATCAGAAGTAGAGGCGGAAATACGCGATATTTATATTCTTTAATGTTGGTTTTAATGATTTTGTTCATATTTTTATTGTTAATGTTACAATCGTTCTTTTTACATTTTTTATTCAACTGGAGTTCTTTAACATTTAAATGTATATTTCTTTTAAAAATAAAGATAACGCGGTGAATTAAAAAACAAAAAGTTAAGAGAAGATGGGGCTATAGTCTGATTATAAGAGACATATGCTGTTATAGCTGGTACAACCAAGAGGGCGTTTCAAATTTACAGGAAAAAACTTATTATTACTCTTGCACCCTGTATATACTCAAAACCTAAGTTTGAAAAAATATTTTAATAAAGGCATCATAACCAAAGACAATTTAAAACAACTACCAAATTCGGTTTGAAGGTTCGCGAGAAAATCAACTTTAAAATTGTGGCAAATTTTTAGTGGTGCGTTAAATTTGACGCGAAGTGTATATTAAACCTTGCCGAAAACACGATACATTTCCCCTTTAAATAACATTGTATTTTTTTACCATTACATTAAATCTTCTATAATTTAAGATTTTCAGGGCTATTAATAAAGTAAAACCCCAACTTGCAGTAGCTCAAAATTAAATTTTTTTGGCCCAGTGCACAATCAGACATATTGACCATGGACTTAACTTTGAATAAGTAATTTTATCGTAAATTGGAAGAAAAAAATTAAATGTAAAAAGTAAAAAAATCCCATGTTATTTAAATTGGAAATGTATAATCTCTTTACAAGGTTTAATATTAATAACTTTTATGATTTTATACAGGGTGTCCCAGAACTCGCGCTACAGAGAAAAAGGGGGCATGCTGATAGCAATGTAGATGTTAAATTAAAAATAAAATTTTTTTAGGTAATAGTGTAAACAAATAAGAGCAAAAAAGCGACAGCCAATACCAAGAGCACTCGCCTAGGTTAAACATAGAACCCTTAAACATTGCTAGGAGACGATAGAACATTGTTGTCTTAAAACTTTTAAAAATATTTCGTGACTGTGTTTACTAACCTTTCAAAAAAGAATGTTCATGTTTTAAGTAAAAATTAAACAACTAGTTTCTGTACCCGAGTCAAAAACTCTAGCAACCACTACAGAATTACACTCTAGCGGGATTATCTTCCGGCTGAAGGCATGTTATTAATCTATGGCTGCAGGTGCTGCACTTGCGTAAAATGAACGCCCTTAACCTGCTGAACTGTGAACGGAAAATTCGCGTGCCACTTTCCTTAATCAGAGGAGGAAAACTTAAAATGATATGTAATGACAGGAACAAAAATTGACAGCAGTGTCACAATAAAGTGGATTCCAGTTGACCAAATATTTTACATATTATAATATCAACAATGCATCCTAAGTATCCTAGCAATTTAATGGCCATAACACAGACCACCAAATCCATTTGTTTTGGTGGTCTGTGGGCCATAAGGAGCCATTTTCTATTGTTTTTTATTAACTATGGTTTCGCGTAAAAATCGAACAAATTTTGGACACTTGTTTGCAAGTGATGCCAGAATTGAATATATTTTTTTAACCTTGTTTCTACATCTAAATGGTGAATTAAAAAAAAAAAAAATTTCATCCATTGACCGCTGTGGTTTTCAGAACTTAAGTCCCTCTACTATGTTGAAAATAGATAAATTTCGATATTTTGTAATAACATTTTTATTTTAAAACGTATCGATTTGAAATTAAGATAAAATGTAGACCTTATTAATGGCAATAAACCCACGTATTTTTTTTAGATTTTAACATACAGGGGCGCTGGGGAAAATTTAATTTAAAATTTTACCATTTCTTAAGGGTTAAAAAGTCGAAGAAGCAACGTTGTTTTATAATTTTGAGTATATCACGTTAAAGTACTGGTAATTAACTATTATTTGATACATAAACTTCTATGTTTCTACAAGAGACATCATTTTTAAGTTAGGCCTTCAAAGGGCATAATACTAATGTGTCTTACAAAGTATATATTCTTTTATCTAGTTTTATAAGATAATGTATTATATATTACATATTATACATTATATGTATAACATACAATTCTTACATATTTATTTAAAAAATTGCCATAGATGGAGCTAAAATTACTTTTATATATAAATTTAAATTTTTTTCAGGTTTACTAATTTTGATCATAGTAGGGATCATAGACTTTTCTCTATGGTAACCTACCATTGGAAGCATGAAAGATAATTTGACAGTTCAGTTTATAAGTTGCAAATGATTTCGTTTCAATTTATTAGTGTACTACAAACTCAAAACAGTAATTTATTAAAATAAATAAACTTAATAATAATTATAGACAGTGTCAGCAAGTTAGAAATTATAACCTGCTTTAATTTTATTTTGTGCTCCACAACAAAGCTTCAATTTATTTTTTACTCAATAAGCATTGCTTATTAAGCAAGCTTCAATTTTTATTCCACACTGATGAAAGTAATATTTACTCAATAAATAAATTAGAATAGACTTTATTTTTTATGTTGCGATCGGCTATTTAGATATATGCATATACAGGGTGTCCAGGAAAATGTGGGAAATCTCTCGGATTCAGATAGAACATGAAAAAATAAGATGACACGTTCCTATTAATTTTTTTCCTACTGGCCATCCTTACTGACACATGGGCCCCGAAAGGACTCCCCTGCAAATTGGTTTTCCTTGAATAACTTTTAAAGTACTAAATATAATTTAATAAAAATTTAATATGATGGCCCCTGGTAAGGACCCCTTAAAATAGTGTCATCGAAACATGTTTTGTTTTTTTTGTTTACCAGGGGCGGACTAAGTTTTACTTTTTAATGCTTAAATTTTGAACACCCCGTATGACAAAGACTTAAAAAAACTAAATCTGCATAGCTTGAACCTTAAACTAAAATAAAGGTACTCTTGTTTATTGTCAATAAAATGAACCGTTTTCGAGAAAAAGAATAATAAACAAATTCATGTATTATTTTTTAATAAAAAGGACCATAAAAAAATAATATAACGTATTGTTGCAAACCTTAAATTGAAGGACGATAATTCAAAACAATTAATTAACTCTTAAATTTAATTTAATTTAATGTTTAGCAGTGCTCCGTGACAGACAAAGTGTACCACACATAGGCTAAACTATTGGTAGAAAAATAACAAAGTTGATGTGTTTCAGCGTTTTTTTTAATTTACTGTTTTTAAAATAATCGTATGTTCCGGGACTTTACAGACACACTGTATATTATGAAATAAACTAAAAATTTAAGTCCACACTGTTGACAAAAAATCACCTTAGTAAATAATGGACACCCTAATTTATAAAGGGTGCACCAAGTATCCCTCTGTGTATAATACTTCCATGGGTATTGTTTAGTTTAGGAGCTTCAAGGTCAGTTTAATTAGAGAAAAGTTGTGTAATTTCAGGCCTATTAAAATGAAATTTATAAATTGGAAAAAAAGTCAGCTGTTTTTAAAACTAAAAATATTTCAAACCAAAAATCCTGGGAAATTTTTGGTGATCCATTTCACATATTCTGACTTAAAATTAATTTATTAATTTTAATTTTGGCATAATCTAAGGATACATCTAAAAAAACGATATCACCTTTGTTACCAAACCCTAATATAAATTAATAATATATCATATTAGGTATACTTACAAAAGAACTAAAAAGACTTTTTTTAAACTGCGAACAAGTATCAATAAAATAGTAACACTCCAAACAAACTTTGAATTTTTTTATTTTTGATACACAGTCCAGCTCTTCTAGCAGTTGATTTAAGTAATTCCAGTTGTGTATCTGTAAATAAATATAATAAACATAAATATTGCATTTATATTTAATGTATAGGTATGTAAATACCTGTACAAGGTGATCATCCTCATTGCACAGAATACAATTAAAGTGTTTGTTGACTGTTGCATTTTCAATTTTCTTTCTGGTTTTATCTATAATCAAAAGCTTCTGTGCACACAACAAGCATGTATTTAATCTTGCTTTAAGTCTTGAAAACTAAAACATATATTATAATATAGGTACTTGTTTCATAAATAAAATAACAAAATCAATGTTTACACTCACTTCAGAACTGTTTAAAACTTCATCACTAAGTACTGTTTTAATTATTTTAGTAAATAAAATTCCATTGGTAATAACTTTGCTTTTTTGACAACAAAAATGACAAACGTCCTCATGAATGTCCATAACGTAAAAATAAATGGACTACCTATTTATAGTTACAATAATTGTAGTTTGATCAATACAATAATTCTTCTTCTTCTTATGTTCCTAATACCCCCAAAGTGCACACAATGTGGACTGATTGATTACGGAAACAAATAATTCTTATAATTCTATAATTCTTCACATTTTTAAAAATCAGAACGAGGTTCGCGGTAAAACATTAATAGGCGCCATTTTGCACCGGACATTTTGCCATTTTGTACTGTCCGCGTTGTTTTAGAGGTGGGTTGCGATTTCGCAAACTGCTCCGGTGGCGTCACAATCGCAAACTCCTCCGCGGTAGTAAAAATCGCAGCGACATTTCGGAGCAATTTGAAATTTAAATTGATCCAAAATTTTAAATATACCAGGCCGCCGCGGCTGTTGCTCTCTGGAGCAGCGAACGTATGGGGAATTGTTCAACAAGTATAAATAAGGTGACCATTTTTCTTTAATGAAAAACCAGGACAGAGTCTGTCCGACATACACGCAGCATGCCCCCCCCCCCCCTTTCAAAAAAAACAAACGAAACTTATTTTGTTTAATGTTTTTTAATTGAAAAAAAAATGAAAATTCTAAAAAAATAAAATATAAATAAAATAAATAATAAAAAAGCATTAAACATTTAAAACAAAATCAAATAATGAATATACCTCATTTAAAACATAACAAATAATAAAACAAGACTAGCTCGAAATCAGTGCTCTATACTTTTTTGAGGAGTGGATTGCCTCCAAAATCTTTGGCTCTGTGAGTAATAATTTATAAAAATCACCACAGTCTAAATCAAAATTTAATTTGGTAGTTAAGATACTTTTTAAGGTTTCCACTTTTAATTGAGTCTTATCACAGCTCCATATATTATTAACATGACTAAACACCCTTTCTGCTTGTGCATTGGTGCCAGGTAAACACATACAATACTCCAAAATATAAACCATATTTGTAATTGGATAATCATTATTATTAAAGAATTTAATGATCTCTTGCCATTTGGATCCAACCCTTGTCTTATTCTCTTTCCAAGAATCAAGTTTTTCTTGAACAACAAACTTCTTGAGACATGTAACTTCGTCAAAGAGATCATTTTCATCAATGCCATCTTTCCTTCTGGAATTATTAATATATTCTAAGCACTCCTGAATTTCCTCAAATTCAGGTATTTTGTTTAACAAAATCCAATTGAACTTTTGAAAATTATCACTATCCGGACTTTTCCACTGTTTTAAATAATCAATAGCTGTGACATAAAATTCAAAAATGTTTTTTTCTATTGAATGTTCACATATGCTACCATCTCGTACTAACGAATTTAACATCATTTTGAAGGACAAGGTGCGAAAATTTTCATCTCGTCGTTTTTCTAATTTTTCAATGAGTTCATTATAAACTCTACAGGTTTCAATAAAGGACGTTTTTTCGCCTTCTAATTTTAAAATAGTTTTGTGAAATAAATCTGCTATATTATGTGCAAAATATAACCAGATTTCAGTTTCAGGATTATTAAAATAGTTTTTAATTAGTACTGGGCACTTATCAATTGATAAAAAATAGGACTTCAATGCTTCATACTGTTGTAAAACTCGTTCAAGTGCAGGAAGTAATGCTAACCATCGTGTATTGCTGTAACCTAACATGTTCTTGTACTCAGTACCAACAAATTCACAAAACTCTTTCAGTTTCTCTACTCTAACTGTATAAATATAAAAATGGCTATAAATTTTTACAATTAAAGCTTCAATGTCTACTGGTAATGTATCACAAGCAGTCTTGATACAATTATTGACTATGTGGGCCATACAACCCACACCAACAATCGAAGCATTGTTTAATTTACATTTAACTTTGTAAAAAACATTATTTACTCCATTTCGAGCAACACCACCAAAATTGCTATTGGTGTTATCAGTACATAAGGCCAAAACTTTATCATTTAAATTAAAATTGGTCACAGTTTCCAATATGTAGTCACTTATTATATCTGAAGTTTCTCCCGGTAAGTCTTTTACTTGTAATATTTTTAACTGAACCCCTGCTTCTGGTAGAAAATATCTAACAATGATAGGCATCAGTTTAATATGTTTATGGTTTGATGCATCAGTGCATATCGTAATAAAATTTGCTTTTGACAAATCTTCTTTCAATAGTTGTTCTGCAAAGGGTGCAAAAACTTGACAAACTATGGCCTCACTTTTTGTTCTGGCACATGAATATTTTGCCTCGAATATTTTTTGAATTAGTCGAGAAGTGCAATCATTAGATCTGAAACTCTGATTATGTTTTATGATGTGGTAGACCCAAGTACCTTCTGAGGCAGCCAGTTTTGCCTCATCATGTGTAAATGTTTTTTTTTTATAATAATTTACCACTTGCTGGCATCCTGATGTGCTGGCTACTGATGATTTATGCTTTATTGTCTTGATATGGTCTTGTAAATCCTTTATACCACTGTTTGCAATAGAGAATGACGAACCGCATATATTGCACTTGACCCTGGCACAGTCTTCAGATATTTTTCTCAAAAATGGAAATTTTTGTTGTAGTTCTGAGTTAAAAGAGCATTGCCTCCTCTTTTTTTTTGGATTTGAGGCCGACATGGTATTTAGTTTAGGAGTCAGCTGCTAAAAATATACAATAATTACAATATTGAACTTAACAAGATTATTATTTCCATTAATATTATTAATAAAATTGAAAGAGGCAAATCAAATTCAATTAAAGTAATACATACCAGTAATTATTAGTATTTATCCCATATATTGTATTAATATATTATCTACTTAGTAAATTCTACTAGGAATTTCCTAGACAACACAAAAACGCCGGTAAACATAATACCTAACCAACAAATAACCCATAGAATAATAATATATCAATACCAATGTTATTACACCATCATTTAAAAATAAATAAAAGTAACTAGATTGCGAGGTCACGACAAAAAGTCACTAGATTAAAGTGCGACAGAGTATTTTATTTCATACTGTACTTTAATGTGCCATTTCCCGGACTCATTTGAGTCCGGGAAATGATACATTACATCACTAGGCCGGTAAAGTAACTTTACCGGACCCGTATATTTTAACTAACACATGGTTATTTCTGAACGATTATAAGTTTTTTGCGCCATTTACAGAATATCTCGTATTCCTTTTGATATCGTCCGGAAGACTTGACCGGGATAAGTTTCGCCGACGCTTCAGAACTTTTTCAAAATCTCTGCATCCATTTTATTCGAAATTATTCAAAACCACAGATTCAAAACGATGCTGAACTGACAGACAAGACAATCAATAAAAAAAACTCTTTGTTACTGTTAGCAACCGATTTAAAGCATACTACATTATCACCCTATATTACTGGTGCTACATTTAAGTTTGTTTAGACAATACTGATACCATCATGTACTGACACATTACTGACACCTTCACCTGAATATACAGTTCAATTTTTGTACCAAAAATTTTGAATAGTATGAAATAAAACATTGTACGATACACGGCCGTGAAATGTCATTAAAGTACTTGTCTAGAAATTCCAGACTCGGCTCCTTCGTCGCCTCGTCCGTAAACATCTAGACTCGTACTTTAATAAGCCATTTCCCGGCCTTGTAACGTAAATTACTATTAACGATCGTTTAGCAGGAAAGAGAAAGAAAACTGTAGAGTTCCGTGCGTTCTAGATACAAGCATGCTTGCAACTCCGATCCGACGATATTAGAGATGTGCAAATAATGGCTCAATCATAAAATTTTTTTTTATTAAAAAATGAGTACAAACCAGGACCGAATCTGCGAAACCAGGACAAAACCAGTACACAATTGAAACCAGGACACATGAGTAAAAACCAGAACCTGTCCTGGGTAAACCAGGACGGATGGTCACCTTAAGTATAAATATGTGATTGAACTTATTGGTAGATATCTAGATGACTCGTACAAAATAGTATATTACGCAACAAGTGTGGGAAGTGGCAAATTACGCATGAGTGGAAAAAGTTGCGCACGAGCGAAGCGAGTGCGCATTTCCACGAATGCGTAATTTGCCTTCCCACACGAGTTGTGTACTATACTTTTTCTACGACCACACTCTGTTCGCCTTAAAAAAAAATAAAAAATAAAAACTCCCAAAAATTTTAATTTATTTATGCTAATGAACCACTTACATTTCTTTATAGTAATTATTAATCTCGTATCGTTCGCGAGATTTAACAGGTAGTAAATTTTTGGTGGCAGCTTTTGCGCTATCAACAATCTCAGGTGGTGTACATAAACAATCCTGATCACTCGACATATCTGCTGTAAATAGAATATTATTTTAAAATAATTACGTTTTTATTTCAAAATTACTTTAATCGTGAAATTTTTTTGATAATTCTATGTAGTTTATTACAAAATTTTTGTGTTCAAGTTTCATCGCCGTACACTGACAGTCGTCAAATATTGACAGTTCACAGCAGCTTTACCAACAAAATAGACAGAAAAACCCTAAAAGTGTGTTTTTTTATTACCATTACGCACGTGTGCGTAATGACTAACTTTCAGTTATTAAGACTTTTACTGTAATGATCAAATTACATAGTGGTCGTAGAAAAAACCTTTTATGCACAATAGCCCGGTAACGGGAACGGGAATCTTAACATTAAAGGTGGGGAAGATAGATAGGGTTCGCTGAGTCTCTCCCACCTTTACCTTTTAGGTTCCCGTTCCGGTTACCTTTTTATAATCTGTGGTTACAGGGCTGTTGTGCAGCAGGCTTAAACTTAACAAAGAAAATAGTATTATTATTAATGTAGTTAATAATAATCTATCTGGCATCATCGGATTTAATACGTGGTAATACTATGGTAAATCTTAAAATTTCTTTTAAGAAGCAGCGCTATGATGCATGCTTTGCCGTTCGCACTTTCGCCAGTGCTTTAAAAGCACTGCTACTCTAGCACTGCAGACTGCACTGCAGCCTGCAGTGCAGTTCACTAGTGAGCTGCTCAGTTAGACAAAACTGCTCCGGAGCGTCGCGAATCGCATTGCTCCGTAAAACCGCTGCTTTTTGTCGGAGCAGTCTCATTTGAGAGCTGCGATGTTATATAACATCGCAGCTCTTGAAAAATCGCAAACCGGCCCACCTCTAGTTTGTTTTCAAGAAACCATCGAGATAAAATAAAGTTATAATAATTATTGTAATGGACGAGTGCCAGGAAGATGAGTTCTTTGTACTATTTTTTCTATTAGACAAATTTTTTAGAATAATGTCGAACAAGTGTCAGCATAGTGAGACAAGCCGCTGT